TTACTTCTTCCTATTTTATGCATTCACTTTTGCATGGAAAGACTTTTTCCTACATATGTATCTATAGTGTTATTTGGGTGTGCTTTGCTTTTGATTCCAGGTAAGTGCAGTAGTATCCATAGGATTTCTTCAGCTCTAATCAGTATCAGTGGTGATTGTGAGTTCCTTTGTGTCTTAGGCTACAGTTGTTTTTGTTTTTGTTTAAAGATGTGTGATACAATTCAGGATTAGATATATAAGTGGTCATTGTATAGGTAAAGTTTGGGTCTCTCTTTGGCCCCACTTCACCTGATTTGAGATCAGCAGGTACCCTTATTGATGAAGTGTGCTTCCCCTCCCTCCCATGACAGTTTTCCACTACTGCCAATCCATTTCTTACAGTATTATGATAATCGTTCAGGGTCTGTTTATGAGTGAGAACATGTGGTACTCAGTTCTTTGTCTCTGTGATAGATCCCTGAGTATTATAGATTCTAAATCCATCCAAATTGCTGTGAAGTCCATAATTTTGTTCTGTTTTCTGGTTGCATAATATTCCATGGTGTACATACACCACATTTTAAAAATCCCGTCCTCTTTCAATGGGCAGCACAGTTGGTTCCATGTTTTTGCTATTGTGAATAGTGTTGCAATAAACATGCATGTGCAGGTAACTTTTTCATAGAATGATTTGAGTTCCTCTGGGTATATTCCCAGAAGGGGAGTTGCTGGGTTGTATGGAAGGTTAGTATTTAGATCTCTTAGGAATCGCCACACTGTTTTCCACAGAGGTTGTACTAGTTTACACTCCCCCGAACAGTGTAGAAGTGTTCCCTTTTCTCTGCATCCTCTCCAGCATCTCTTGTTTTTTTGAATTATTGATGATAGCCATCCTGACTGTAGTTAGATGGTGTCTCAGTGTGGTTTTTTATTTGTTTTTTGGGGGGTTTTTTTGAGTTGGAGTCTCACTCTGTCACCCAGACTGGAGTGCAGTGGCCGCTCCCGGCCACCACAGCCTCGACCTGCTGGGCTCCGGCGATCCTTCTGCCTCAGCCTTCCAAGTAGCCGGAATTACAGGCATGCGCCTACCACGCCCGGCTGATTTTTTGATTTATTGTAGAGATGAGGTCTCGCTGCCCAGAGACGGGTCTCGAACCCACCGAGACCCACCGGCTCAGGCAATCTACTCACCTCAGCCTCCCAAAGGCATGGGATTACAGGCTGAGCCACCAAGCTGGCTTCAGTGTGGTTTTGATTTGCATTTCTTTGATGATTAGTGAGCCTGAGGCTACAATTCTTTTTTTTTTTTTTTTTTTTTTTTTTTTTAAGTTGGACTCTCACTCTGTCAGTGCAGTGGCATGCTCCTGGCCACCGCAACCTCAACCTGCTGGACTCTGGAGATCCTCCCGCCTCAGCCTTCCAAGTAGCTAGAACTACAGGTGCGTGCTACCACACCTGGGTAATTTTTGATTTATTGTATAGATGAGGTCTCTCCAACTGGCCTGGGCGGGTCTCGAACCCCTGGGCTCAGGCAATCCGCTTACCTTGGCCTCCCAAAGCACTGGGATTACAGGCCGAGCCACAGAGCCGAGACTACAGTTCTTTTTTTGAGTTGGAGTCTCACTCTGTCGCCCAGACTGGAGTGCAGTGGCTGCTCCCAGCCACTGCAGCCTTGACCTGCTGGGCTCCGGCAATCCTTCCATCTCAGCCTTCCAAGTAGCTGGAACTACAGGCGTGTGCTACCACGCCCGGCTACTTTTTGATTTATTGTGGAGATGAGGTCTCGTCAAGTTGCCCAGGCAGGTCTCGAACCCGCAGGCTCAGGTAATTCACTCACCTCAGCCTCCCAAAGTGCAGGATTACAGGCTGAGCCACCGAGCCCGGCCAAGACTACAGTTCTTAAAGGAGGCTGTGGCAAGGCTTTGTTAGGGATGGGGACCCTTGACACGTCATTCCTCAGGCCTTAGTGTTGGCAGTGGTAGGCCACCATGCCAGTACTTGGGCCCCCAAGCAACATACTAGGGTGCTGGCAATGGAGGGTCTTGGCGGACTAGTCCTTGGGCCTCCAGATGCTATTCTCAAGTGCAGGAGGTGACAACAGCAGGCCAGATGGGTGGATCCTTATGATCCCTGGTGGCATGCTTGGTGTCAGCAGTGGCATTAGAGGAGACTGGCCAACCATCAGACTTCTGAGCTGCAGGTGTCAATGGTGGCATCAGTGATCTAAATAGGCCATTCCCTGGCATCCTGGAAGGTGCATATGCGTGGGCTAGGCCCATCCTTAGGCCACTGGACAGCACTTGCAGTTCCACAGCAGGTGGGAACACCTGTTCCTACACCTTCACATGGCATGCATGGGCATCAACAGTAGCAGCCAAGACAGGTTGATTTCTAGTTACTCAAATAATACGCACACACACTGGCAGTAGCAATGACATGAGGGTCAAGCGTTTCCTCAGTCTTCCTGATGGTGTATGCCAGTGACAACTGTGGCAGCAGTGACCACAGATGATACAGGCCTGTTTTCAGGCCTTCCGATGGTATGAGTACAACCCAGCAGCAGTGGGCAGGGTGGGATATACCTAAGTCACCAGATAGCACTCTCAGGTGATGGTGGTGGGCAGGGTGGATATAGCCTCAGTTCCCAGTGTGGTGCATTTCCAGACTTGTTCCCAACATTCCTGAAGGTGCATGAAGGTACTTGGCAGCCCTGCTGCTAGACAGGGTGTCATTGCTGTCAGTGGTCCCAGACAGGCGGCTCTTAAGCTCTAGGGAGCACACATTTTGTCTCATTTCATCCTGGAAGCAGCCTATGTAGTGTCCCATGGGATTTAGGACATTTCATGAACTAGAGTGCTGGGGACCCAGCCATGCCAATGGGTTTACCTAATATTATGCTTCTCCAGCCTTCTGAGTATACTGAAGGGATGTCAGCAGGGCTCCAGAAATGTGGAGATGCAGGGATTCTTGGACCCCAGGGCAGAGTATAGTCTGGGGACCTGGGATCTCAAAATGCTTAGGGCAGATGCTTCAAATGTGGGGAGTATAAGGAACTCAGTGCAAACTTTCTCTCCAACAGTGTCATCACGTGGACTCTGGGCAGCTGTCTGTACTAAGTTTAGGGCTCTTAAGGGCTGAGGGGTTCTTCGTGATTAGGATTGCAGGAATCCACAGTGGGAATATGGACTGCTGAGGATCACTCACTTAGCTTTTCCCTGCAGTGGAGAGTTTCTCCAGCCAGGATTCACTGGGCTGGCTGCTTTGCTTGCTTTTTCTGTATCTCAGAGGTTCCTCATAATTTCCCTGCATAATTCCAGTGTTCCCTCCTAGATGCTCTAGTCAATGTGTGGTTATATAGTAGGTGTTTTGGCTCTTTCTTATTAGAGGCAGGTACTGCACACCTAGTCAGCCATCTTGAAGCAACAACTCTGTATTAGGTTTTCTGTATTTCCTTTTTATTAACTTTTTTAAAACCTCATGTACACAATTTATAATAGCATTTAATGATGAACAGCTTACAGAACTAAAAACAAGTCTTCTGAGATACTTCCCCGTTTTCTCATGAGAGCCAAATTATTTAAATTCTTTCAACTTTTTTTTTCACTTATTTACCTTTAAAAGACCAAATAATATGCATGTGCCTTTTTTCATAAAACACTTATTTATGAATTATATAATTGCCTTTTTCTTTTCTTTTATTTTCTTTTTTGAGTTGGAGTCTAACTCCTTTGCCCAGGCTGAAGTACAGTGGCACACATGCTCATGGCCACCCCAGCGTCAACCTTCTGGGCTCCAGCGATACTTCCACCTCAACCTTCCGAGTAGCCAGAACTACAAACACATGCTACCATGCCTGGCTATTTTTTATTTTATTCAGGTTGCCCGGGCTGATCTCGAACCTGTGGGCTTAGGCAATCCACTTGCCTTGGCCTCCCAAAGTGCTGGGATTACAGGCTGAGCCACCGAGCTGAGCCTATAATTGCCTATTATATGCCAAACTATTCTTTGACCTGCAAATACAGCACCAAGATAATTAAATCACCATTCTCCCAAAGCCTACCATACAATTGTGGTAGATAGTAATCAGGATATTATACACATGCATACAAACAACATACCCCACATATATAACAGAAGGTGATTAAGTACTAGAAAGAAATGATTTCAGGGAAAGCACATGTATCTGAATGTTGCAACAGAAGGGAGTGAGTCAGGATGACATTGTTACACAGAAGGGACATCTAGGGTCTCTTTGAGAAAGTAATATTTGAGAATTCAGGGCAACAAAACAGCCAAGCCAAGCAAATATATATGTGAGGAGTACATAGGTGCTAAACCAGGAAAGGGCTTTCTGTGTTCAGGGGACAGAAATGGGCTCTGTCAGTGTACATTGGAGTGAGTGAGTCAGAAGGTGGGGGGAGTTGAGTTCAGAGCAATGGAGCTGAGTTGCAGGCCCTGTCATCCCTTTAGTCTTGCACTGAATGTGGTGGGAAACCACTGGAGTGTCCAAACTAGAAACTGTTGGTATGGTTGCTTCTGAGCCTCAAGGCCAGGATCCCTTGACTTCAGGTCACGTTCTGTATAGAGGCCTGGAGACATCTGTGAAGAATGATTGTGCAATATATGTTTGCTGAGCAAGTGCTGACTGGAAAAGGTTATGATCTAGTTTATACTTTAGATGATACTCTAGCTTCAGTTTAGGCAATAGATTTTTGTACTATGTGTATTCTGTTTTTCAAGAGAAGATGTAATATATAATAATGGAATGAAAAACTAGGTCCTGTAAGGGAAACCTTTGTGGGAAATTGGGTTTGTGTTGTGTTGTAGGGCTGATCTCATTATAATACAAGGTAGAAGGGCTTAGGCTGCCTCAACTCTAACTCTTCTAACTGCAAATGTTTCCTTTTCAGCAGGATCAGAACCAGAAATCGATCTCTGTGCCTGCTGCCTGCTGACCTTCTCTAGTCAGCACTTGCTCAGCAAACATATATTGCACAATCATTCTTCACAGATGTCTCCAGGCCTCTATACAGAACGTGACCTGAAGCCAAGGGATCCTGGCCTAGAGGCTCAGAAGCAACCACACCAACAGTTTTCTGATCAGAGTTGCCACAGTGACATAGCAGAAGAACAAGAGAAAGAGAAAACCTCTAAACCGTTGTTCAGGAGGAAGAAACAGACTTCAAGGACATTTTCCAGCCCCAACTTAAGACAAGTAGTAAGTTCAGTGGGAAGGAACAAAGAGGTGGAAATAGAGCCCAGCCAAGCCCAGAGGGAACATCCTAAGGAAATAGACAAAGTATTAAAAGGAATAGAAAATGGAAGATGGGGAACATTCAAGTATGCAGGGGTTGGGCGAGACTTCAGCCAGAAGATGATAATGCTCAATCACAAAAAAGCACATTCTAGGCAGAAACTTTTCGCATGCAAAGTGTGTCAACAGGGCTTTAGTGATGAGTCAGCATTACTCTTGCACCAGAGGACACACTCAGGGGAGAAGCCTTTCATGTGCAAAGAATGTGGGCAAGGCTTCAGCTTCAAGTCAGCTCTCCTCAGACACCAGAGGATACACTCAGGGGAGAAGCCTTTTATGTGCAAGGATTGTGGGAAAGGCTTTACCCAAAAGTTAAACCTCACTGTGCACGAGAGAATACACTCCGTAGAGAAGACTTACAGAGGCCGAGAGCGTGGGCCAAGGTTTAACAATAAATCATCATACAATAAGCAAATGAAGGCATACCCTTTTGTATGTGAGGAGTGTGGGCGAGCCTACACCAGGATGTCATCCCTCATTGTGCACAAGAGAATACACTCAGGAGAGAAGCCTTATGTATGCCAGAAGTGTGGACGAGGATTTTGCAGTAAGTCACACCTCAACAGACACCAGAGAACACACTCAGGGACACATTCTTTCATGTGCAAAGAATGTGGGTGAGATTTCAGCCGTAAGTCAAGACTCTTCAGACACCAGAGGATACACTCGGGGGAGAAGCCTTTTGTGTGCAGGGATTCTGGGAAAGGCTGTACACAAAAGTCAAACCTCACTGTGCACGAGAGAACACACTCTGAAGAGAAGACTTAACAGATGCCAAGAATGTGGGCAAAGGTTTAATGAAAGTCATCATACGATGAGTATTTGAAGGCACACTCTTTTGTATGCGAGGAGTGTGGGCGAGCCTACACCAGTAAGTCAAGTCTCCTCAGACACCAGAGGATACACGCAGAGGAGAAGCGTTTTGTGTGCAAGGACTGAGGGCAAGGCTTTACCCAAAAGTCAAATCTCATTTTACACCAGAGGACACACTCAGAGGAGAAGCCCTAGGAATCCAGAGTGTGAGCGAAGGTTTCCACATAAGTTCTCCTATAATAAGCACCTGGTAGCACACTTAAGTGAGAAGCAGCTTTTCTGCAGGGAGTGTGGTCAAGGCTTCACCTTGAAGTCGTATCTCACCAGACACCAAAGGACACACTCAGGAAAAGTCTTTTGTGTGCAAGAATGTTGGGAGCCGGCTACGGAGGCCCACTGAGCTTTAGGGATTAGGGAGGGCCGTGGACCCTGAGACCACTATATGCATTCGGGAGCTGTTGACCCTATTCCCTCCTCCCTTTTTCTATTTAGCACACTTAGCCAAAAGGAACTCTGTTGACCTAAGCTGAAGCCTCTGTGACTGTGACGGGCATGGCTAACTCTAGAAACGCATTGTTCCTGTTTCCCATGAACTGCGGTTTTGGCTTAGGTATTAGATATAATTCAAACTCAGGTCACTTTTGGGAGCCTGCTACATGCTACAAGCTTCTTTATAAGATTTAAAAGTATATTTGTAGAATTAATATATACATATGGAGAGCTGTTTTTAGCTTTAGATGGTATAGATGATTATCTAGAGTTAACAGAAATGGCCCAGCACGAACTTTGGGCTGGGCCACATTCCTAAGGGCCCAGTGCAAACTTTGGACTGGGCTGCATTCTTTTAAACCAGTTTTAGCTATAATTAGTGTGGGGTTTTTCTACTTATAGAAATTGAATTTATTTTACTCACAGAAAGTATTGTAGAATAGGTCGTGCTAAGGCAGGAATTATGTTAGTTCAAGCATGATCAAACATGATATTTTGAGGTTTAATAAGAATACAGTAGCCGGGCTTGGTGGCTCAGCCTGTAATCCCGTGCCTTTAGGAGGCTGAGGTGAGTGGATTGCCTGAGCCCGCAGGTTCGAGACCCGCCTGGGCAACTTGGCGAGACCTCATCTCTACAATAAAATAAAAAATGAGCCAGGCGTGGTAGCACACACCTGTAGTTCCAGCTACTTGGAAGGCTGAGGCGGAAGGATCGCTGGAGCCCAGCAGGTCGAGGCTGCGGTGGCCGGGAGTGGCCACTGCACTTCAGTCTGGGTGACAGAGTGAGACTCCAACTCAAATAAAATAAAATAAAATAAGAATACGGCTAACTTTAGAAATTTCATTGTTCCCGTTTTTCTACTATTGCAGTTTTGGTTTTTAGTACAATTTACAGTTTATATTTGGGTTTTATTTTTAGAAGCTTCATTGCTGATGATCAGCTTTATATATTAAGATTAGGAATTAGAAACTTTTATAGAAGTTAAGATAGATATATAGGATTTTAGAATAGCCATTTTGTTAAGAGATTGTAATCAATTGTTTCTAGAAACGGCCCAGCGTGATCTTTGGACTGGGCCACATTCTTTAGGAACTGGTTTGAGCTATAATGAAGAGTTTCTATAGTGTAGGTAGAATTAGCATAGAATAGAAAGATATTAGGATTTAAGTTAGTCATTAGGTGTTGTGTATGCATAAGCTTTAGAAGTTATTGATTATTAGAATATTATGATGCTAGAATTGTTGTATTGCTTTTGAGAAACATTAACCAAGCATAAGGAACAGTGAGATAATTTTGGGATTGTCCTTCCTCATGCTTGAGGAGACATCTGGTGGGTGGGGGACACCCCCCAACCACCTGGCTTTGTGTTCACGTGAAAGTCTTGTGAATTTAACCTGTGAAAATTTAGGATAAAAGGCTTATGGTTTGTCCCATTAAATGGCTTCTGCACTAGACAGAGTCCAGTCTCCTTTCTTCTAATATCTATCCCTCTAATATCTATGCCATCTTTCCTACCAGGGACCCCCAATATCTGCAGGGGCTGGCACCCCGCACAAGGACTGTGGGCAAGGCTTTACCCAAAAGTCAACCCTCATTTTCCACCAGAAGATACAGGGGAGAAGCCTTTCACCTGTGGTCACTGTGGGCAAGGATTTACCCAGAAGTCACACCTCAAGTAACATCAGGGCTCACATTGGGGATAAAATTTTGGTGTGCTAGGAGTTTGGGCAAGCCTATACCAACAAGTCATTCCTCACTGTGCACAAGAGAATACACTGTGGAAAAAGGCCTACCAATGCCAGGAATGTGGAAAATCTGCGGGTAAGCCAACCTACCATAAGTACTTGAAGTTCCACTAAGCTAAGAAGCATTTCTGTATAGGCTATGTGGACCAGCCTCACCAAGAAGTCTTCTCACCAGAGGACTCACTTAGAAGGTAATTGCATCCTTACAGGCTGCAGCCAACTCTGTGCACCATATCCCCACAGCTGGTGCCACAGCTCAGAACTGTCACAAATACTTTACAGAGTGCCAATAAAACTAGGGACACAAAAGATGTGAATTGCATGACTCTCATGTGTAACAATACTATTACTTTTTTTCCCTCATTTTAAGTGTGTAAACATTGCTCCCCTGGGAAACAAAGGCGGTGGCGTGTTCAACATAGCCCCATGCACCTCACGGTGGTCACTGCACCTGACAGGCCACTGCTCAGCAGACATCCCACAGGGTGTACGGATACGGCTCTGCAGCCAAGGCGGCGGCAGAATCCTTAAGGCAGGGGTCCCCAGCACCACCTGCCCTGGGGACCGGGTCTCACAGCAGGAGGCCGGCTCCGCCTCTGCCAGCTCGGCTGCCGCATTAGATTCTCATAGGAACGCGAACCCTATCAGGAACTACGCCCAGGATGGCGCTCCTTAGGGATTTGCACATCGCCCCCTCCACCACCATCCGTGGAAAAATAATCTTCCACGAAACTGGTCCTGATGCCAGAAAGGTTGGGGACC